ACCCAGCAATTCCACTCTTAGGTACCTACCCAAGAGAAATGAATACATACATGTCCACACAAAAATAGTGTCCACAGATGTTCACAACAGCATTATTCATAGCAACCAAAAGGTGGAAACAACCCAGGTGTCCATCAGTGGACAATCAGATAAATAAAATGTAGTTTGTCCATCCAGGGGAATATTATTCAGCCTTTTTAAAAAGGAAGGAATTGACACCTGCTACAACATGGCTGAGCCTTAAAAACATTATGTTAATGGAAATAAGCCAGTCAGAAAAGGACAAATACTGTAGGAGTCCACTTAGATGCTGTACCTAGAGTAGTTAAATTCATAGAGACAGTAAGTAGAATGGTGGTTCCACGGGCTGGGGAAGGGGCGTGGGGAATTATAGCTTCACAGAGAGTTTCAGTTTTACAAGGTGAAAAGACTGATGGGGATGGATGGTGGTGATGGGTACACAATATTATGAACGTATTGAATACCACTGAACTGTACACTTGAAAATAGTTAAGGTGGCAAATTTTAGGTCATATGTCTTTTGCCACAAGAAAAAATATTGAAAAAAAATTAAGATGGATCAAAGATATATCTAGATGTAAGAGCTAAAACTGTAAAACTCTTAGAAGAAAACAGGTGTAAATTTTTATTATCTTAAATTAGGTAATAGATTCTTTTGATAGGACACCAAAAGCACAAGCAGCAAAAGAAAAAAATAGATCAACTTGACTTCATTAAAATTAAAACCTTTCATCTTTCAAAGGACACCACTGAGAAAGTGAAAAGATAACACAAAGAATGAGAAAAAAAATTGTTGCAAATCAAATATCTGATACAGGACCTGTAGCTGGACTACACAAAGAATCCTTACAGTTCAATAATAAAAAGACAAATAACCCAAATAAAAATGGGCAAAGGATCTGAATATAGATTTCTTCAAAGAAGATACACAAATGGCCAACAAGCACATAAGATGTTCCACATCATTAGCCATTAGGGAAATGCAAAGCAAAAGCCCTAGGATGGCTATAAGCAAAAAGACAAGTGTTGGTGAGGATGTAGGGAAACCAGAACTTCACACACTGCTGGTGGATAAGTAAAATGGTGCAGCCACTTTGGTACGGTCTGGTGGTTCCTCAAAAGGTTAAACAGAGTTACCTTATGACTCTGCAATTACATTCCGGGTTATTTCCCAACAGAAATGAAAACATAGCTCCACATAAAAATGTGTACATGACTGTTCATATCACCATTATTTATAATAGCCCCAAAGTGGAAACAACTAATGTCTATCAACTGATGAAGGAATAATCAAAATGTGGTGTAATCCATACAATGGAATACTAGAAAGGAATCAAGCACTGACAGATGCTACAACATGAATGAACCTTGACAACATTACGTTAAGCAAGAAGGATCAGAAATAAAAGGCCACATTTGAATGAACTGTCCAGAAAAGGCAAATCCATGAGACAGGAAGTAGATCAGTGGTTGCCAGGGGCTGGGGGAAGGGAGGATTGAGAGGTGCCAGATAAAGGGTTTCTTTTTAGGGTGATGAAAATGCTGTAAAATTGTGGTGATGGCTGCACAACTCTGTGAAAATACTAATTATTTGTGCTGTGAATGAAGAAATGTGCTTCACCCTCCATCACTGAAGGCTTGCTACCGTGGAGGTAGCCTCTGGGGATTGTCTTCCCCAGGACGCCCTTCCAAAGTGGAAGATCCTGCCCCTCGCTTTGAACCCTCAGCCGTCTAAACTGGGGACAGAACTGTGTCTGCACCCAGTTCACAAGGGTCAGGTCAGGGTTGGGGCCAGCAGGGGACGATAACCACCTCGGTTGCTCAAGAATCTGGAAAGACAGCTAGGAATCCGGAAAGTGTAAACGAACACCACATGAGCAATAATTCAACCGTCATTCAGCTCAGCAACCCTTCCTGAGCTCTAACCCGCCAGGATGCAGAACCAGACACCACCATGTGCCATCTGATAATGATCTTAGGTGGCCTCTTCCTGGGCCATGTCACAAGTGTGGGGCTTCTCAAGCATTGTGGCCACACCGCTTCTCAAGGTATCAAACGACTTAGAACTCACACAATGGGGCTTCCTCCCTTCAGGGAGCACACAGGCGTCCCAAGCTGGTTCAAAAATGGCTTGAGAGAGTAAGGACGGGCTTGGGAGTTAGTATAGTGGGTAACAGGTGGGGCCAGGGTGAGGGTTTCTGTACTTGGTTTGAACTTCCCACTGGCACCAAAGGAGGGCGCAGGCAGGCTTTGCTATCTGCTTCCCTAGATGGGGGACACAGGGAAAAAGGGAGAGGTTCAATGCTGTCAACAAACATTGAAAATCGGAGTCACTCTTCATTATAGCAGGCCTTTCTTTTCTTCTCCTTCTCTTCCTCCTCCTCCTTTTCTTTTTTGGTGCTAATATAATTTAATTGCTTGTCTTTGAAAATTAGAGGTAAACCTGTCTGCTGGTAAGACATATCCCAACAAGATAGAAAAGAGATCTTCCCTTTGTAGCTGCATAAAAGCTGCAGCCAGAAGCTGCATAAAAGTAGATGCCACGCTGAGTCAGAAAACTTCCGTGCTTGAAAAATGTCAGCTATCACCGAGGAACAGAAAGACCTGATAAACTCACCAGGAAAGCATGGCATCACAAGGCTTGGGCCGTTCCATTCCTGAGAGATCATTTATACCAATTATGACAAGGAGTGAGAGGTAAGAAATGGCACACGCTTCAGTCTTGTATTATTAAACAATAATAATGATGGATTTCTCATTACTAAACATTTACTAATTACCTTCCTTAGAAAGTGAGCTTAGAAACTGAAACTGAGAAACTAAGCTGTTTCAGCACCAGTTGACTCATTTAATTCAGCCAGTAAGTCTCTAAACCAAGTATAGAAAAAGATCAATGAACAACCCTAGACGAATCTCCTCCCCTCTCTGAGCCTGAGTTTCCCCACTGGACTCAAGGATACTGGGTACAAGGATTCCCAGAACAGTCAGCGTGTTCCGCCTACTTCAGATTCATTGGCTCAATCCCACCTGAGGTCCCGCCCCCTTTCCTGAGCCTCCCCCTTCCATGCCCACCCCAGCCAATCCTCGCACTAGCCCTGCTCATAGCTACGCCCCACAGTCCCGCCCCGACAACCGCCCGCCTCTAATCCCGCCCCCTGCCCAGCCTCAGGCCCCGTGGCACTCAGGCCCCGTGGCACCCAGGCCCCGTGGCACCCACGCCTGAACCGCCACAACGGCCGGCCCCAGCTTCTCGTGCCTCTGTATCCCCCTAGGTGGCCTAAGACCCCGAGACTGCTCCAAGCCTCTCTTCTGGCCAAAGACTGGGAGGACACGATGAGTGTCATTAACACTCGGATCCTTAAGTACCTGGCAACTGTGTCTTGGGCTTCCCGTCTGACCCTTACGGACCGTCCCCACGAAAGCTGCGCAGCTTAGTGCGCTGCCCCTGCACCACGCAGTCCTCTGCGCCTGCGCAGACTCCCTAATTATATTTAGCAGATCCCCGCGAGATTCTGGCTCCTCTGGGAGAGGGTCCAATGATGGCAAAGGCGGATGGATCCCTGGAGTCCCAGCGGGTTTCGCCTGGGGTACATCAACATGAAAGTCTTCTTCTAGCTTCCTTAGGCGGAGTGGAGAAGGAGAAGGCGGTTACACTGTTCGCTTTCTCTCGACCAACCACAGGCTGCGTTCTGAAAGCTAACCGTTGTCAGCGTCCGTTTCCAAGGCAACGGTTAACTCTGAAAGCAGCCACGAGCCTGTCTCCATGGCAACTGTTTAAGCACAAACGCTAGGCGAGGGCCCCTCGTTAGAGTCGCCTTTAAGAAGTAGGGATGCTCAACAAAACAGCGTGCTCTGCTTATAAAACTTAATGGAAAACCTATGTTAGAGCACAAGGAATGGAGAAAGACGAGTAGGGCGGGACTGAAAGAGCTGATGTGAGGAAGGTTTCTCAGAGGACGTGTCTCAAATAAAGCTTTGAGGGCTGAATAGAAGGCCGCCAAGAAGAGAAGAAAAGAAAAAAATGCTATCTTATATATCCGGCTAAAATTTAAAACTGTATGACATACAATCTTGATGGTATGGGGAAACCATCATTCTCTTACCATGCAAGTGGGAGTGGGAATGACTTCAGCCTTGAAGTAAATCAGTCAAGTAATCAGTGACTATTTTCTGAGAACCTGCTGATGTACCAGGCCGTACTCTAGGTGCTGGGGATATAGTGGTGAAAGACACAAAAGGACCTTGCCTTCGGGGAGCCAGAGCAGGCAGTTAATAGGGGATAAAATAGGGTATTACAATAAAATATTATGATGTAAACAGGCAAGGGGCTGAGAGAGGAATAAAAGGGCGATTAGGAAATATAATTATTTAAGAACATAATTGTGAAATGAAAGCCACAGAAATCTCAAGCGAACTGTAGAGAAATGTTAATGTATAGCAGCTGGAGCCTGCCTTACCTGTCGATTTCTTCTTCCTAGTGTTTGTGACAATTGGAGTGGGGGGTTTTCTTTTACTTGCCACTGAAGGCATTCTGAGGTACTAGGACAAACAAAATGAATGCCTTGTTTTGCTCCTTTGTTCCTTACTCGAGCTAATAAACTATTTTTCTTGACTGAGCTCTTTTGCGTTAAGTTTTGTATCATTTGAAACCCAAAACATCTTTCGTTATAGCTTATTATTCTTGCTTAAAAGATAAGGAAACTGGATCAGATAGCAAGACAATGGCAAAGGCAAGATTCAGAATTAGGTTCTCTCAGACTAAAAATCCAATTATTCAACATCAGTATGTTAGTAAAGAAGGGGTGAGTCTTCGAGAAGGCTGAGAACCAAATATGCTGAGAAAGTTACATATGATGGAATACATTAGGATGAGGAATTTGAAGATATTATGCTGCTGGCTTTGAAAATGGAGGGGCCACAAGCCAAGGAATGCAGGCAGCCTCTATCTATTGAAAATTTATACCATAAGCCATAAAAAATGCAGAAGGAATAAAAATTTAATTGTTAAAAAATCATAAAAGTTCTAGCATAAAATATAGAAGAACTTTTTACATAATCTTGGAGGTGAGGAAGGCATTTCTTAGTATGACGGTAGGTCCAAGAACTATAAAAAGAAATAGAGTTCAATACCTAAAACTTTAAAAATTTTGTATAGCAAAATGCACCACACACAAAATTGAAAGAGAAATCACAAACTGGGAGAAAATATTAGGAATGTATATACTAAAGAGTTACTATGTGTAATATATGAAGACTTGCTCCTATAAATCAATACAAAAAAGACAGCCCAATTAAAAATGGGCAAAATTTATACAAATAAGTAATTCTCAGAAGACAAAACATCAGTAAGTGCATAAAAAGATAATCTTGCTCTCAATAGGACACTTTTACTTATTAGATTAGAAATGCTAAAATTTTTTAAAAAGGTTAATACAGAGTATTTGGGAAGGAAGTGGAGGAACGGGAATAGGCACCCTTATACATTTCCAGGAGTCAAGTAATTGTTTATCCTTTTTTGAAGGATTATTTAGCAATAACTAACAAAATTTTAAACATGGACATTCTATAATCTTACAAGTTTACTTCTAGGAATTCATCTTTAGAGATAGTCTGCACAAGTGTTAAATAATATATATTCAATGATGGAAAAGAAAATAAAACCACCCAAATGTCCATTAATAGAGTTTCATTGAATAAATTCAAGAAACCCTCACATGAAATATTAAAAGACAAATGACACATATTTATGTACATATGTATATATGTTTGTATAACATGTACTCAATACATTATGTATTTTTTATTACCACAGGAAAATACTCACCCTGTATCAAGTAAAAAAAGTCACTTCTAAAATCACATGTGTGTGATTATACTATGTAAACAGTATTTTATATATGTATATCTTTCTATATACATAAAAACAGAAAGGGAGGTTCATATTCACAGAAGAAGGTCTACAATCTTTTGAATGGGGAGAGGGTATAGCTCAGTGGTAGAGTGCATGCTTAGCATGCATGAGGTCCTGGGTTCAAGCCCTGGTACCTTATTAAAAATTAAAATTAAAAAATAGAATCTTTGGAAAGAAGATTCACAGAGGGCCTTTCTTCATTGTTATGTTGTTTGAATTATTCACAATAAAAAATATTTCTTCAATCATGAAAGAAGTCACAGAAAATTAGAAGAAAGATGTGAGCAAAGAGTTTCAAACATGGTCATAGTTACCACTGATGGTGCTGGTGAGATGAGGTCCCATCCACTGCCAATCAGACTGCCAACTGATATGGAACTTCTGGGAAGCCATTGGCTACGTGCACGGGGTCACTGAAATGTTCTCTCTTTGACCCCAAGACCTCGCTGCAAGGATTTTACTTGAGAACTGGTCCAGTGGTCAGCCCCTAAGACTTCAGTAGAAGTGGTGTTTAGTAAAAAACTGGAAGCAACCACAATATACAACAGGGGACTGGCTAATACATTGGTTGAAAATACAAACTGTGCAAAGCCCCCAAACATCAGATTGTTAAAGATTATTGAATAACATGGGTATTTAATGACATGGGTATAATGATGTGGGTAAATCATCATATTTAATAATAGGGGCCTGGGATACAAAGTTAAATAAACATAGAAGTACCATAAACTGTATATTAAATATGCCCCAGATTTATTAAATCATCATAATATTATAATTAAGTTTAAAAAATAGTTAAAGTCAGGGGGAGGGTAATTGCTCAGTGACAGAGAGCATGCTTAGCATGTACCAGATCCTGGGTTCAATCCCCAGGACCTCCATTAAAAAAATAAAAATTAAATAAAAAATAAAAATAGCCAAAGTGTAGCAAAATGTTAACAGTTATCTCTGAGTAGCATTTGGTGAACTCTTCCAAATTTTCTATAAGAAAATGTATTGGTTTTTATTATAAGATAATAAATATTCTTTTAAGAAGGAAATGTTACATATGGAAAGTATTCAGTCCCAGTTGAAGTTCAGTGCATGGCTTCTGGAGGCTTGCATCCAGACTCCATGACCTCATAGCTGTGAGACTCTGGCCACATCATCTGTGGGCCTCAGTATCCTCATCTGTGAAATGGGACAATACAGCCATGAACCTATGTGGTTGTTTGAAGAATGAAAGGAGTTTGTACATACCAAAGACTTAGAATGAAATTGGCACAAAGTAAATTACTGAAAGCACTAGCCCTTTTATATGCTTGACATGGGGGAAAATGGTATGATTGCTGTTCTGCGCTGGTAAAAATGTAACAGAACTGTTGTCCTCACATCCCAGCTTGTGCCAGGTAGTTGAGATCCATCTTCTTTGGAAAGCAATTTGACAACCTGTTTCAGGAACCAAGAAAATGTTTAGAGTCTTGAGTCTGTTATTCCCATCTTGGGAATTTGACTTAGAGAAATAATGCTCCCAAAAGGAAAGCGGGAATAAGCAAAGTAACGCTCATTGTAACGTGATCCATAATTGGGAAAACTGGTAAATAACCTGTGCCAACTGGGGACTTGGCACAAAGCCTAAATTGGGGAATGGATAGTAAATTATTCCATACCTACCAATGAAATATTATTAGTCCTAATAATGATAAGTATGAAGTTTATATGGTGACAAAGGACAACGTTTGTGATATAATGAGGACAAAACAGAGAAGCCAAAATTGTTTCTACACTCTGATTACAATTACATCAAATAACATTTATTTTTAAATGATATTTGGGAGGAAATATGAAAAAAATCAAAACAATATGACCTCTGAGGGTGGCCAAGTTGTAGGTGAATATGTGGCTCTTGTTTTATGATCTACATTTTTCAACATTTAAAAATATGGATATGGAATACAGAGTAAAAAACAAAACAGAAAAAATACACCCCAAAGGGACTAGCAGAACTCTCTGGGCTGTAGGATTATGTGGAATTGGTATTTTAGTTCCTACTTCTCTAGACTTTCCAAATTATCCTTCACAATGACCTTATATTATTTTACATAAAAATTTTCCTGTTATAAAAGTATGTGTATTGTTTTATAATAAAAAATAAATACCATGTTTCAAAATATGAGGGAAGAAAAACCTCCCTTTGGGCATGAATAAAATTAGAAAATGATACTTAATAGGGCAATTGCTTTGTAAAGCATAAATCCTGGAAATGGAAAAACAGAAACAAGGGGACATTTTAAAAAATGGCTGGAAATGCCTGAAACATATTCTGTGTTTAAGCCAACTGCAGATTTTCCCGTGAAATTTGTAGCTTAAAGTTTTAAAGGAAACTAAAATCATCTGGCATTTATGTTTTTAGGGTTGAGAAAGAGGGTAAAAAACTGTTATTTTAGGGGGAAGCTCTTAAAATGATCAAAAGCTGTCCCAGCTGGTGATAAATGGTGCCATCTTTCTTCTAGGAAAGAAAGAAACCAGCGCTGTCAGCATATGGTGTTAGGGCTCCCTTCTGGGAGGAAGTTACTAGTGCTGATGACTAAACGGAACCCAACTACAGAACTGCTGGTTTGTTTCATCCTCAGGCTCGCTAGTCAGCATGAGTTCTCTGATGGCCAGCGAGCTGTGTGTTCCAAGCAAAGCCCTTCTCGAAATTGCTGCAGATGTAGCCATCATGCACAGGATGACGTCTCCGATGTCTGGTCAACTGTGAACCCCAGCTGAAGTTCTCTCCACATTCTTTATGTGTACAGCCCTTGCCACCCCTTTGAACTTTCTGGTGTTGAATGAGGTGTGAAATCTGGGTATAGGACTTCCCACAGTTCTGACATCTGTAGGGTTTCTCCCCGGTGTGAATCCTCTGATGCTGAATCAGGTGGATGCCCTGGTTGAAGGCTTTCCCGCATTCCTTACAGGCGTAGGGCTTCTCACCAGTGTGAATCCTCTGATGCTGCGTGAGGGAGGAGTTGTGACTGAATGTTTTCCCACACTCCTGACACTTATAGGGTTTCTCGCCCGTGTGGATCTTCTGATGCTCGATCAGGTGGGTGCTCCGGCTGAAGGCTTTCCCACACTCGCTGCACTCATAGGGTTTCTCTCCAGTGTGAGTCCTCTGGTGTTGAATGAGGTGGGAAATCTGGGTGTAGGACTTCCCACAAACTTTACATTCATAGGGCTTCTCCCCAGTGTGAATCCTCTGGTGGCGCCTAAGTGAAGAGTTCTGGCTGAAGGTTTTCCCACATTCGTTACATTTGTAGGGCTTCTCCCCAGTGTGAATCGTCTGGTGTTGAGTGAAGGAGGAGGTGTGACTGAAAGCCTTTCCACACTCATTACATATATAAGGTTTCTCCCCCAGGTGAATGCTCTGGTGCCTCATGAGGTGGGAAATCTGTGTGTAAGCCTTCCCACAGTCGTGACACGCATAGGGCTTCTCGCCGGTGTGGATCCTCTGATGCTGAGTCAGGGACGAACTGTGGCTGAAGGCCTTGCCACACTCAGGGCACTCGTAGGGCTTTTCTCCGGTGTGGACTCGCTGGTGCTGGGTCAGGG